CTTTCGCGACGTTTGCCGCGCCTTCGCTCAGCTCTTCGCCCCTCTGCTATTTAAAAGGAACTCGTTTAACGCCCTCAAGCTGAACGGACAACCGAGAAAATTAGTTTCGCTCGGTGTGCCCGATCAATGACAGTATACTCGTTTCTATAGCTCCCGAGGCTAGAAACACGTCATTTCGCCTATAATTGGTCAGCCGTTCTCGTTGTAAGTTTTGCATGAGTGCGCGCTGGCTCTTCCATTTGAGAACTCTTGATAAGGAAGGCGCCGCGCTTCCGCATTTCAGAGGTCGACAGTTGTCGTGCTTTTTTTTTCGTTTTGTTAATTTTAGTTCGTCATGGTGTAGTGCCCATACGGTTTCGGATAAATACGTCGTCGTTAACACGTTAAAAAGTGATGCGTTCACATACCCGGTCATGCCTATCGTAGGAATTGACAAACTCATTGGCGTAAGAAAAAAAAAAAAAAAGTCGTGGGTCGTTGCACCAACATCGTCCCCATCGCGGGATCGAATCCCGGCGGCGGCGGCGGCTACATTTTCGATGGAGGCGGAAATGTTGTAGGCCCGTGTACTTGGATTTGGGGGCACGTTAAAGAACCCCAGGTGGTCGAAAGTTCCGGAACCCTGCACTACGGCGTCTCTCATAATCGTGAGGGTGGTTTTGGGACGTTAAACCTCACTTATCAAGCATCGTCGACGTAAGGTCTCATTCCAGTGATTGTGTCCTTGACGCGTTCGCCATTATCATTATCATTGTTGTTGAAAGCGGCATCTTCACCGGCCGTTCAATCGGCTTCAACAACCGTATTTTCTCGCACGCTACCAGCATTGCCTAATGATGTCTGTATACTATGACTGTATTGATCGGTTATTGGCTGCACGCAGCATATAATGTTCTTTTCATGTTCTAATAAACCCACGATTTAGTTACCTACTGCCTTTTTTTAATCTCCCGTGAACGACAGAGTGACGTAAGAAGAATAAAACATAACTTATGGGGTTTAACGTCCGAAAACCACGACTTCATTATAGAGACGCTGTAATGGACGGCTTCCGGGAATTTCGACCACTGTGGTGTTCTTTAACGTACACTGACAACGCAGAGTACTCTGGCCTCTACCACGGGCCTCTGTCTAAACAGAAAAAAATAAAGCAAACTAGCAAACCAGTTCTGCCAAAAAGAAAAAGGAAAGAAAACTAGCAAACCATTGTATGTGACTATTTAACTGTCCTTGCATGCGCTCTTCGCTCTTCTAGTTCGGGTGCTCCCGAGTCTATCCTTTCAGACTCGCAATGGAACGCACGCACACACGGTCTGCTCCTCTTCGGGCTACTTTGACGAAGTGCTCCCGTTTCGGAGTCACAACAGAGCTCGCCTTTTGTAGTATACGCGCTCGCCGGGAGCTCCTCTCGTGCATAAACGAGAAGGAACGAGAACGTACGAGACCGGATACAAAGGGATTTCCGCGCGGCCCCGAGCACATCCAATTAGTTTTATTCTCCTTCTGCTCTCCGTTCCTCCTCTTTTCTCTACCCCGAAACCCTCGAGCGAGGCAATCTGCATGTGTCTGCTTACGGCTCTTGTGTTACCTAGGCCTCTCTTTTTGCCCTCTCATTTATCTCTTGGTACCGCTTCCGTTGCCTCTTTCTCGTTACCACTCTCCCATTGACGCTCTCCCCTTACCTCTTCTCCTACCTCTGCTTTCACCGCTCTCCTCTCAAGGCTAGCTCGTTGTACTTATACCCATCTCTTAACGGCTCTCCTCGCACCGCTCTCTCCTTACGTCTCCCTGCTTACCTGTCTCTTCTTACCTCTCCTTATACCGCTCTATTCTTACCTCTCTCGATACCTCTCTCCCTCCTTACCGCTTTCTTACCTCCATTTGTTCGTATCTATTTCCTGTTATCACTACCTCCATAACTCTCCATTCTTGCCCCCTATCTTCTCACCTCTCTCTTGGTACACCTGTCTCACCTAACCTATTTCACTTAACCCCGGTCCTCACCTTTCTCCTCTTACCGCTCTCTTATCACCTCTTTCATCTTACACCTTTCCTCTTGCCTCTCTTGTTACCTCTACCTCGTTTTACAGCCCTCTCCGTACCCCTCTCTCACCGGTCTGACCATGCCGCTCTCCTTTTATTCCTGTCTTACCTATGTCTTGTTGCATCTTTCTCCTTTTTTTTTTCTTTCTTCTGATCTCTCTTATTTTTTATTCTAGAACATGCCGTCTGCTTAGTTCGATGAATAAATACGCCCACATGTCTGGCTCTTTCGCTTACTCGGCTTCGTATAATAACAGAGCCAGGGCTTTCTCGAAAAAAGCTTCGTCTACGTCGGGATGTGGTGCGTAAAACGATGGCTGCCTATTCCACGTCACTCTCGCGCGCTGTGTCTATAGATAAACCCGTGCAGTGCTGAGTGGGCAGGGTGTGTAAGCCTTGCCTCTTCCGTGTCCATTAACTAGACATGTGCAGTGCTGAGTATGCATTGTGCTAGGCCTTGCCTGGGCACTGTCAATTAGAAAACAGAAAAGGTGCCGCGGCGTGCTCCTCACCCAGTCTTATATCTTCTTAGCGTTGTGCGTATATATGTAATTTGGTCTATTTGCCGATGGTCTAGAATGGTCAACATACCTTATCAGTATGTTGCATCAATGTTACCGTTTTAATGCACAGCGCGCATATCATATCGCCATCGGAGTACTATTAACAATACGTATTTTACGCACTTGTAGTTAGAAGAATTTCAATCTCTCATGCAGCCGCATTACACCGGTGTAATGCGGTGCACTATCCATTATGATTAAGTCCTGTCGTGATCGAGTTTCGCAATAGTGGTAAGTTCCCTGCTGCAACTTCGGATACATTGGAACATTTCTGTCCCTCACCCTCAGTGTAGAGGGGCCACTTAAACAGTTTTCGAATTGTCCGCAGGATCGGAGCTATAGTGCAAAACTTTCAGCACGTCACGCAGTTTTGCAACTGCCTCCGTGATCGCCTTACATTTGACCAAGCGACGATTTGACGTGATGACGTCTCGAATTTTGACGTCGTCACGCGATTATTGCTAAGCTGTATTCACATGACGGACGAAGTCGCGATTCGAACTCGCGGATTGCGTATTACGTCACCATACGTCGCACGTTCCCGCGTTGTTCCGCGTGGAGCGGTTCGTGAAGAGACGGAGGCCTAAATACGCAGGGGATCCTCTGGGAGAAAAGGGGGAAAGCCATCGCTTGTAGCGTGAGTTATCCCCTGTCCTGTGTGAATGCCGGCTGCGGAGGGATCAGAATCGCGTCACATGTCACGCGACTGATTCGTCCGCGATCACGTCCGTCGTGTGAATGCGGCTTAGCATGATCACTCGTGTTGACGACGCCGCTGATGGTCAACTTCGGTTTTTGATGAGGCATCTGAGGCTTCCGCCTTAATAACCGCGCATAAAGGTGCTTTCGGATCTCGCCGCCTAGGTGGCGCCCGTGAACTACGCACTCGCAGCACAGTTTTCCTTCTTCTTCTTCTTCTTCTTCTTCTTCTTCTTCTTCTTCTTCTTCTTCTTCTTCTTCTTCTTCTTCTTCTTCTTCTTCTTCTTCTTCTTCTTCTTGTCGTTGTTGTTGTTGTTGTTGTTGTTGTTGATCTTGTTGTTGCACTTAGAGTAAGGTATACACATGCTGCGGCAAAGTCGGCGCTCTCGGCACGACTCATGAACAGGTGGCGCGCTAAGTTTGTACGCCCCCTTACGATTAATAATTTCTCTGGGGTGCCCGTGCCGCCGCTCCACACTTATATTGTTGGCGCGAGCGAGAATAGGGAAATGAAAGCTAAAACGTGGCAAAAGCGCCGTGATACGCGCACGCAGCTACGAAGAGAAAGAGAGAGCGAAGGAAAGAAAAAAGTGCTAGAGGTGCACGCTCTGATTCACAGATCTTGAAAAAAGAACGCTCATCCTTCTCAGCGCTTGTGTTTACGCCGTGATTTTATTATTTTGATGCCCGTGCAACCCGCCTATACGTGTTAATGTGTGTTGAGAGCGGGGCAATAAATTGGCGCTTTTATATCTGCACTGCATACAGATGTAGCACACTATATACTATACCGTAGAGAGTAGGGCTCTCGGAGAAGCCTTAATTAAGCCGCGTTCCTCGTTGCCGGCTAGTATCATTTTGTGCCCCAGGCCAGTTTAGTTTTGCCGTAGAGAGTAGGGCTCTCGGAGAAGCCTTAATTAAGCCGCGTTCCTCGTTGCCGGCTAGTATCGTTTTGTGCCTCAGGCCAGTTTCGTTTTTTTTTTTCTTAATCCTTTCCTACGCCATGAAAAAGAAGGGTGGGTAGGAGAAATAGAACAAGGTTTATGCAATGAACGTCGAGATGTTTAGAGAAAAAAATAATGCACGTGAACGCCTTTCTGGATGTCATTCTGAGCTCCGTGCCTCTAGAAAGTGTTCGATAATTTCATTAGTTTTTTTTTTTTTGCAGGATTTGCGGAAGACAAATTGTATCGCATCTATATACGCACGGTCCACGTTTCTTTTGATTCACAGTGCGAAGCAAACGGCAACGATTGCTCGGAAAGGGGAATCCTCGTAAAGTCCCGCGGTTCATGAAGATTGGCTTATAAGTTTTAAGCGATGTTTTCTATGAGTTAGGTTTCGGCGGTGGCGACGACGGCTTAAGGCCTGACTGCACGCACGCGTTGGAGCGCGTCAGCGCTTGGTGTGCAGACTCGGCGCCGCGCCCTCTCCCAAAGAAGGGAGAGAGGGTAAGCGACTATACGAAACTTTAGTTTGATACGATACTGTATAAGGTTTGTAAAGAGGGACTGTTTTGCAGGGCTGTATTAAGTACACTATTTGTTTTTTTTTTCTTTAATGCTATCAGGAGTGCAATCTCTCTCGACTGATCTCTGGCAAATCGAAAACTAAGAGTAATTAGTCAATTACGAAGTATGAGAAAAATCCTGCCTGTCTCACACGCTTTCTCCCCCATTTCCTCGTGTTCTCCAGGTACGACTACGGCTCGCTGATGGAGAACGCCACGTTCTGCCTGGTTCCCCGCGGCCGCCGGCTGGGCTCGTTCCGCTTCCTGGAGTCCCTGCAGGCCGGCTGCGTGCCCGTGCTGCTGGCCAACGGCTGGGAGCTTCCCTTCGGCGAGGCCCTGCGCTGGGAGGGCGCCGCCCTGCGCGCCGACGAGAGGCTGCTCCTGCAGGTGCCGGACACGCTGAGGTCCATGCCCCGGCGTCGGGTGCACGCCATGCGGCAGCGGAGCCAGCTCCTCTGGGAGACGTACTTCTCCTCGGTCGACAAGATCGTGCTCACCGTGCTCCAGGTGAGACAGAGCGTGCGCCGAATTTCCACTTTTTTTTTTTTTTTTTAAGGAGCGAAGCTCCTTATACTCACACTATACGCCGTCGCCGTCGAAGCTCCCTGCGCCGGGAAAGCGCGCCGAGAAAAACGACAGGCGCGCCCCCTGCTGCCGCACAGCAGTAGCGCATGCGCGGCGGCAGATAATGGTACGCGCTGAGCGGCGCGCCCCACACACTCGCTCAGCCGTTCACGTCACTGTTAGAATGGGGGAGCCATAGAGTTTTCTAATATACACTAGAGGGAACTCTGGCGCTAGTGTCTACGGGAGCTGCAACGCACGGCGCTTCAGCGAGCATGGGAATGATGGGTAGTACACACATTTGTCTAGTTTTCGTACTTCTGGCCTGCTTCTGGCTCCGTGTGTGCTCGTGTGACTTAGAGCTGTTTTTTTTTTTTCACGAAAAAAAAAAGCAAATGTTCAGCATTCGCGCTTCACAACCTTATTCTTTTAGGCTTGCCATTTTGAATTGGGTCGCAAAGTTCAAAATGCTTCGTTCTTTCCTTCAAAACAAAATCGTAACCAGCCATAAATGAAGCCGCATGTACGATTCGCCACCCGCAAGTACAAGGACTAGGCAAGTACGAGGACTAGGCAAACCCATCATTCCCATGGTCGCTGAACGATCGCAGCGCCAGAGCCCCTCTAGTTCATTAAACTCTATGGCGGAGGCTCCTCCCCATCCTAACGCCCTCACGAGAGCCAGCAACGAAATCAGTCGTATAAAAAGCTCTTAGCCTATGAACCTCTCCGGAACCTGTCTTTTTTTCACCTCGGAAAAAAAATTATTTGATTTGATTTGAAGTCGTTCACGTCCCGTTTCTAAGCAGATTCGCTCATAGGCTGTATTCGTACACGGAACTACAATTTTTTTTTTTTACAGCAGTGCCGTTTTGCTCGAGGTTTGTACGTGCGGCGTAGAAAAAGAAAACTGTCGTCGTCACGAAACGGCACTAGCTCTCTTCTTCCGTTTCTGCTTCGCTCCACGGCACACGCGCGCCGATTTGTCCGGAGTGGGACGCAATAACTCCGATAGGCTTAGAGAACTAGCTTCTCTGTAGGGCATGGCGCCGCGTCAGCAAGCCCAACGCTGACGCGCTGCAACGGTATACCTTTCGTCAGGCCTTCAGGCGATCGTATGCGCGCGCGCTCATGTGCCGTGGCGGCACCACGTGGCAGCCGCGGTAACTATGCAGCGCACGATGCTCACATCAGCCAATGGCCGTTGACTTTGGGTTGACGGCATCGTTTGTCGGGAGAAGAGCGCGCCGATGACTTTGAGAAGTAATTGTGAATTCCAGGCCGCGTGCTACGCTGTAATGTTTTTTTTTTTTTGCGTGTTCGCCAGAGGAGTGACTATACTGCTCGACAGCGTATTCTGTGCATGCTGGAAAAGGTGTTGTAGCGCCTTTCAGACTTTCATTTATAAAAAAACTTGAAAAGAAAAAAAGAGAGGAAGTTCCTAATAGCTAAAACAGTCAGCACTTATATGTTACAGCGCCGAGCTCTACGCGAGCCTGGAATCAATGACAGGAGTCGACTAAAGCGCATACGCGGGAGTCCACCGAACATATTTCCCGGAAAGTAAGGAAGGAAAATAGGAGGCAAAGAACGGCAGGCAGGTTAACCAGTCTATATAGGCAGCCGGTTTGCTACCCTGCGCATGGGAGGGGATGGGGGAGATGAAAGAGAGAGAGCAGAGAGGGAAGAGAGATAAACACAGCACGTTAGGCAGCACACGCGCGCACACTCAGTCATAGACGAGGTATTTCCCGGAATACGCACGTTGTGTATACGTCTCGTCGTGCGAGTGGCGCGAAGCGTTTCATTTTTTTCTTCTGCTTCTGGGAACCTAGACTACAGGTAAATAAAAGAGAAGAAGAACAAAAACAGTGAGAAAAGAGGGGAATACAAGAGAGTGCTGTACGTATACGGCGAGTGCGATCACGTAAGCGACGCTTCATTCGCGCAAATTGGCTCGCGAGACGTGCGCCAGCATTAAATCCGGGCACGTTCGTCGTTTTCGCTAGGCTGTAGTATATATATACGCTACTTTTGCCGGCAGGTGGCGGCGGCGGCTTCTCGTCGTCGTCCAGTTTGAACAAAGCAGCAATAATAAAAATGAACGGACGAACGGGTGGACGCAGGGCTCAGAAACGGTAAAACGGAAGCGTGGGTATGTGCGCCGTCGGCTGTATAGAGCTTAGGGGGGAAATCATAGAGAGATGGAGAGAGAGAGAGAAAGGCTTGTTTCGGTCGTTGTCGAGTTGGCGTCGCTATTATCGCGAAGCGCCTGCAGTCGATTGCACACTTTTACGGCTGGATCGTCACCGGTGGCTCACATGTCTTCCACGACGCACGCGCGCAACAACCATGGGATCCTAGCTCGACTCGTTTTCTCGATGTTTACTTTTTACTTCTTCGTTTCGTGGCCTCTTTGCACAAGGTACCACGCGGGCGGAATGTGTGCGACATATGTGACGTGACTTGTCCGTGAGACGGCTCTCGAATCGTGTAGTCCGTTAGCATTAAGCGGGACGGGACAAGGGAAAAGTTATTTATTGAATTTTTGCCTTTTGCTTGAAAGCTCGCTGTGGGGAGTATACCGTACTTCCTCGCACAGTAGCAGCATTATATAGCGTTGACTAACTCTGACTATAGCGTTGTATGCTCGTATTGGCTCATATTTTTGTGTTTTCTTTTTCATTGGGAACGGCTCGCGCTATGATGAATTTGACGCGTGTTATCTCTGGGCGCGTTGCATTCAGGGCACACCTGGCTTAGGGTGCTCGCGATTTGTGCGATAACACTGTACGCACGATGATTCATGGTCTTAAATGCGAGAACCAGTGGTTATAACCGTTGGAACGTCTGCGATCAAGCACATGGCCGTACACTGCAGGAATTTTCAGATGCGAAGCAGCTCTCTGACTAGCCTGTGTAACACTGTCCCGTGTGTCCGCACAAACCCCCTCGCCGCAGGTGTTGGAGCGGTGCCAAGTAGGTTAAGTCACAGCTGCGCGTTGATGTCGGTCTCTCCCTCACCTGTAGCAGCTGCCGGCTCCACCGCCCGCTCGCAACGCACCTCTTTCTAGCTTCACCCGCTCCACCAACCGCAACGCTCGACCGCAAGTCGAGTGGAAACGCTAGACAGATTTAGTTACGCGTCTGCAGCTGCCGTACGGACGCGGCCTGCCACTTCAAATGGCTAGCAGGCTGCTTCCGTATGGCTGCCGTGGACGCGTGACTAAATCTATCTACCCTTTCGGCTCGTTTATCTGCGATGAAACTTCCACGAAACCCAACCGGCCTTCCGTGTTTTCGCGCTTTAAAAAACGTTTACTCGAGTAAAGGCTACACCGAGTTTCGCTTCAAACCGTTTTTCCAGCACCCGCGACGACGCCCGTTTCAACCGGGTCAACGCTGTGCGCACCGCTGCTGCTTCGCATCCCATTAGGGTTTCCTTAGGAGAGATGGTCCATATTTTTTTTAGAGGTGTGTTTATCTGTAGAAGGTCTATCTGGGGAAACTGGTGGTCGATGTCAACAAGTGTATATACCTCGGTATCAACCGTAAAGTTAAAGCACGAGAAGATTCTGGGAGGTGTCAGAACCCCACCAACTCCCCTTAGTTACGGCCAGGACGTCACGTGCGTACCGCGGAAAAAGACGAGGGCGACAATATGCTATTTTATGTTTCAAGGTGACCTTTCAAGGTCATGTCACTAAGTTCGCTACGGTCCGTTTTTTTATTATTGGAAACAAAGCCAAAACACAGCTACAAACAAAGTGCTTTTTCAAATCCGTGTACTACCTACCTATCACTCCCATGGTGGCCGAACGATCGCAGCGCCAGAGTGCTCTCTAGTTGATTTTAGGAAACACTATGGTGTGCACTGATCGAAACTCGGGCTTTCTCTCGGTGGCGACTGGATGGTATATCCCCCGTCTGAAAACACTGTCTTCGGGCAACACTATAGGAAACGGGGAATGCAGTGAGGCAGCGCGAAGACCCCGAGGCGATGTAAGGTAAGTCTACGCCGTAGGGGTGTTGACGCCCCCCTGTAAAGTTGTTTGTGCTGCGTGGCTCCCGTGTCTAGCGCAGAAGCCGTATTTCGGGGGGTCACAGCTATTGAGCGGTATAGGTGGCGTGGTGTTCGCGAGAGTTGACCACCAGTATCGTCTTTATCATGGTTAAGAAAAACGTTAGCGCCGGCGGTGACCCCTGGCGGCAAGCCAGCCTTGGTGGTGGCAGAGAGAGTTGACTGATTGATACGTGGGGTTTAACGTCCCAAAACCACCATATGAGGCAGAGAGAGTTGAGCGAGTCTCCTCCGGCTGGTGGCGGTTGGCGCGAACGGTTGTCTCCAGCGTGAGTCGCTGTAGACCTACGCTAGGGTCGCTGTAGACCACACCGCGGGCTGTCTGCGGTGGGCCGTCGTGGTAAGTCAAACGTTGGCGACGCCGCCTTGGGTGTGTCGTTGACCTTGTTATGTTGTTCAGTGTTGTGTAATTTTGTGTAAGGTTGTTTAGCGCGGGGCTCACAGTTTATGTTAAATGATTCGGCTGGCGATATCTTAATTGTTTAAATAGTTAAATGAACGCGTGGCTTGTTTGGTTTGTCCCGACCGCGTCTGCTTGTGTCCGTTCACTCCAAGAGCGTGGTGGTGCTCTTTCTCGCACCGAGACCCCACAACGCCAATGACTACGCGCCCCGTGTCGTGTCTGTGATTGTCTGTAGATGATGATGATGATGAACCTTCAGCTTTGCTGGCACTCGCCCACAAAGGGGGATCGGCCAAGAACCGGGCGGCAGGATCATCAAGTGTGCTAAGTCAGGCATTCGGGTAGTCTCGTAGCCGTAAATAATAACAATAGGCTAACAGGGTAATCTCTTTGTTGCCCTTATGTACTCGCACACAGCAGAGAAAACCTCCGTGGTGGTTAGAAGAGGAAGAAGGACGC